GTTCTACATCTTGATCCCCGGGCAACAGGAAGTGGTCTGTCTACCATACTGGGCGTAGCTTGAACATATGAGACCTCTAAGCCTGCCCCCACAGTGACATGTTTCCTCCAACAAGGCCACATCTCCCAATAGTGCTATTCCCTGTGGGCCAAGCATTCAAATGAGACTGTGAAGTCATAACTAATCAAATCACCACATTCCACTCCCTGGCCCCCATAGACCTCCAGCCATAATATAATGCTAAATGCATTTAGTCTGGCTTCAAAAGTCTCCATTAGCCTGTCACCGTCTCAACAATGTTTAAAAGTCTAAAGTTCAAAAGTCTTTTCTGGAATTCATACCATCTCTTAACTGTAATCTCTTATAAAATCAAAATCAAAACACAGATTGCACACTTCCAATATATAATGGCACAGGATATACATTACCATTTCAAAATGTAGGGAAGGGAGGATAGTGAGGAAATACTGGACCAAAGCAAGACCAAAAACCAGCTGGGCAAACTCCAAACTCTGCATCTCCATGTATGATGTCAAAAGCTCCTCAGATCTCCATCTCTTTTTATCTTTGTTGGCTGCAGCACCCTTCTTTCTCTTAGACTGGTTCCCCTCCCTGTTAGCAGCTCTCCTTGGCAGGTATCCCATGACTCTGGCATCTCCAACATCTTGAGGTCTCCAAGGCAATCCAGGCATCACCTTCACAGCTTCACACAATGGCCTCTCTGGGACTTTGTGCACGGATATCCCGAAACCCTGGCCTCAGTGTCTTTCCTTAGTAGTGGAGAGAGATTCCGTAACCCGTTTCTTCTATCCTTGATTCTAAAGCCAGAACCATGTGGCCGAAGCTGCCAAGTTCTGCTGCTTGCTGAGACTGGAACATGGTCCCTTCGTTCAGTTACATCTTCACCAACTTTCTGTTTTCAGTGGTTTCTTTCACTGCCTAAACTTGGTTGTCCTGAAACTCAATCTGTAGACCAGGCTGGCCTTGAACGCAGAGATCCTCCTGCTTCTGCCTCTGGAGTATTGGGATTAAAGGTATACACCACTACTACACCCATGTGGGGTGTCTACCCACCAACCCCACAGTTGCCCAGAGTTTTCTTGAGTGAGAGTAGCAGGAAACATTAGATAGAAGGATTTAGAAAGTGTAGATAAACAGATAGAAAATATAGAATAACCTCGAGAGGGCCTGGAACCTATTCCAATGGGCCCTGACTGTCTCTGCCCTAGGGTATTTATAGAGATGCCAAGGGGTGGAGCAAAAGACCTCCCCCCAGCACAGCCAAGTGCAGACCATCTCAGACACCTGCACTCAGGCCTGTGGTCCTAATCATCCTCTCTATGCAGACCTGCGGGGTAAAGCCACTAGAAACCTGAAAATGGGCTCCCACACACCCAGCTCTGAGCTTTTCTTTGATCCCTTTTCACAAGTTAGAAGCTAAGCTGGGTGGGATTTTTCCCTGAAGTCACTGTTCCTTTATTCCATTTCTTAATCTGTTTATCTCCTTGAACACAGGACTTAGCTCCATTCCACTTCTGGTGCCCTTTTCTCAATCTGTGCGTTTTGTATTTTCAATTGCTCAGCTTGCTCCTTTTCATTATAGTTAATTTCATTCTAATCTTCATTAGAGTTAACACTAATAACTACACAACATAATCTATACTAGGCTATTTTTAGATTTCCTTTGTCAACAGAATTAATCCATATCTCTTCACTTTAGCCTCAGGCAGATTTTTCAGATAAGGACAAAAAGCAGCCATATTCTTCACCAAAAATATCACAAGAACAATCTCTAGGCTACATACTAAAATTCTTCTCTGAAACCTCTTGAGTCAGGTCCCCACAGTTCAAATCACCTCAGCACCACTGTCTTCCATGTTCCTACTAGGATGGCCTATTAATCAGTGCTTAAAACATTCCACTGCTTTCCTAACCCCAAGTCCCAAAAATATGGTCAGGCCTATCACAGCAAAACCCCAGTCTCTGGTACCAACTATGGCTTGGTTAGTTAGAGACATGGTGTCCATGACAACTCGTTTTCTTTTCTTTTCTTTTTTTTTTTTTTTTTTTCGAGACAGGGTTTCTCTGTATAGTTTTGGAGCCTGTCCTGAATCTTGCTCTGTAGACCAGGTTGGCCTCAAACTCACAAAATCCGCCTGCCTCTGCCTCCCGACTTCCATGACAACTCTTACGAAGGAAAACATTTAATTAGGGCTGGCTTACAGTTGAGAGGTTTAGTCCACTATCATCATGACAGGATGCATGGCGGCACGCATACAGACTTGGTGCTGGCGAGGTAGCTGAGAGCTCTACATCTGGATCTGCAGGCAGCAGGAAGAAGACTGTGTCCCACACTGGGTGTAGCGTGAGCATAGGAGACCTCCAAGCCCGTCCCCACAGTGACACACTTCCTCCAACGAGGCCACAAGACCACCTAATAGTGCCACTCCCTATGGGCCAACCATTCAAACATGGAGTCTAATGGGGGCCATACCTACTCAAACCACCAAAGTGTGTGAGCCTGTGACTTTACACTCTGTGCCCAGGAGCCCATGAAGACTAGAAGAGGGCATCAAACCCTTAGAACTGGAGTTACCGGCGATTAGCAGCCACCATGTGGGTGCCGGGAACCAAACTTGGGTGCTGTGCAAGAGCAGCAAGCGCTCTTAGCTGTAGAACTGTCTGTGTCTCCCCATTCTGCATGTTAACATCTTTATGGAGAAGTAATTCATTTATAATGTGGTTCTCTCATTTAAAGCATACAACTGTATAGGGCTTTTGCTTTGTTTTGTAAGAAATGTGAGAAAGTATTCCTTTCTTGCTAACAACCTTTCATGTGTTTGGTTGGTTTTTGTTATTTTTGTTTAAAAGCAGGATTTCACTTTGTAGCCCACACTGTCTAGAATTCACTGTATGGCCAAGCTGGTCTGAAGCTCATGGCAATCCTGCTTCTGCCTTCTAAGTGCAGATTATGGCTGAGCGCCACCATTCCTGACTTGGTTTTTTGTTTGTTTGCTTTTTTTTGTTTGTTTGTTTTTGTTTTTTGAGACAGGGTTTCTCTGTGTCGTTTTGGTGCCTGTCCTGGATCTCACTCTGTAGACCATACTGACTGGCCTCTGTTCTTATCAATGGTTGCTTTATGTTAATTCAAATAATTCCTTTAAGTCTTTGGAAAATAACTCTTTAAAATGAGCAGTGATGTGATTGGCAGTTTACAGTATTCAACAAACACATGAAACAGTCTTTAACTCCACCAGTAATGAGATGTGAGTGTTAAAATGACAGAACTATAGCAGGGCGGTGGCAGAGGTAGACGGACTGAGTTCGAGGCCAGCCTGGTCTGCAAATCAGTTCCAGGACAGCCAGGGCTGTTACATGGAGAACCCTATCTCGAAAAACAAAAACAAACAAACAATTACAAAAGTATGAATGTGGTTGGAGCTCATTCAGTAGAGTGTTTGCCTAGCATTCATGGGGCTCTGAGTTTGATCCTCAGAGCCACACCAAGCTGTGTGGTCTACCTGGCACACCCAGCACTCTGGAGGCAGAGGCAAGGGAATCAGAATATGAAGTCATCCTTGATCACATAGAAAGTTTGGAGCTAGCCTAAGACTCCATGAGACCTTGTCACAGAAAAATAACAACAAAACCAAAGAAAAGAGAAGCTGCACAAATATTAAAATTAAATTTTTATCAAAATATGTGAGTAAATTTTTCCAAACTCAAAAGCATGTTGAAAAGTTTGGGAGAGAGCCAGGTGTGGTGGTGCATGCCTTCAGTCCCAGGCAGATGTGTGTCTGACAAGGCCATCCTGGCCTGCATTGGGATAGCTAGGGCTGTGTAGAGAGGCCCTGTCTCACAACATTGGCAATGGCAAACCCTAGGAGAAGAGCCGAGCGATTTAGCCTCCCCCCACCCACTCCCTACACCTACATCAACTCCTTCTCTCTTCCTGAACAGGAGGCTGATCCCATTCTCTCTTTGATATGGTCATTTTAATGTCACTTGAGACATTGAACATCTTCCTTCCTGGTTCTTGGCTGGCTCATATTTTACACCAGGTTCTGTTATGAACTTGGCTCTTGCATAGAATGCCAAAAAACCCTCTGAAAACATAAGTATACATTTTGAGAAATTCAATCTTTTTAACCAACTTTTAAAAAAAGGAACTATTGTGCTACTTAAGTTGGGATCTGCATTGATGCATCCTAAACTATCTAGTCTATAACTGAATCAGAACATCAAATTCTTTTCCAACGTCCACCAGTGTTCCATCAAATTCTTTGCCAAGGTATATCAGTATTTCATCATTTAGTCTCGAGTTCCCAGTGTTTCTGTGTCTCCAGTTGCAGTCTTTTCATTTTTAAACAAGGTAAGTAACCTTCACTTATGACCCGTCTAAAGGTACAGTCCCAACATCCTTCTACGCTGACATTCTCAGAGTGCATTTCACTGGTTAAGTCGAAGACCATTCATTTCTCTAAAAGTTCATATCGATTACTGAGGGTTATTTTTTTAGTGTGTGTGTGTGTGTGTGTGTGTGTGTGTGTGTGTGTGTGTGTACCTGTAGAGACTAAAAAGGGCATTGGATCCCTTTGGAGCTGGAGTTGTAGGTGATTTTAGGAATGGGTGCTGGGAACCAAACTCAGGTTGTCTGCAAGAGCAACATGTGCTCCTAACCACAGGGCCATCTCTGCAGCTCCCTCTCATACTCGTTTTACCTGGCACACCAAGACCCTGTCTAAAGAAGCCTAAGCGATGGTCAGATCACCCTGAACACTCCTGACTGTCAAAAACCAGGACGACACCCAAACCAAATGTAGTGTAGTGTTCCTGGGTTTACTTCCTGGCCTGTTTTAGTTTTTGGGGTTTTTGTTTTGTTTTGTTTTGTTTTTTAGTAAAAACCTATTATAGTTTCTAAATGATTGAAGTTTGCATGGTTTAGTTTGGCTAGGGCAAATGTTTAAAAATCACAACTTTCTTGACATCATTCATTGCAGGTTTTTTGTTTTAAACAATGAAGCTGGGCTACTGGAGTACTTTGTGAATGAACAGTCAAGAAATCAGAAACCCAGAGGTACTTTGCAGCTTGCAGGCGCTGTGATCTCCCCCAGCGATGAGGACTCCCACACCTTCACAGTGAATGCTGCCAGCGGAGAGCAGTATAAACTCAGAGGTAGGCCGACCTAGCACGGGGTCCCTCTGCAGCAGAATACTGACCTAGCACAGCAGAATACTGACCTAGCACAGCAGAATACCGACCTAGCACGGGGTCCCTCCGCAGCAGAATACCGACCTAGCACGGGGTCCCCTCTGCAGCAGAATACCGACCTAGCACGGGGTCCCCTCTGCAGCAGAATACCGACCTAGCACGGGGTCCCTCCGCAGCAGAATACCGACCTAGCACGGGGTCCCTCCGCAGCAGAATACCGACCTAGCATGGGGGTCCCTCCGCAGCAGAATACCGACCTAGCATGGTGGTCCCTCCGCAGCAGAATATCGACCTAGCATGGTGGTCCCTCCGCAGCAGAATACCGACCTAGCATGGTGGTCCCTCCGCAGCAGAATACCGACCTAGCATGGTGGTCCCTCCGCAGCAGAATACCGACCTAGCACGGGGTCCCTCCGCAGCAGAATACCAACCAAGCATGGGGGTCCCCTCTGCAGCAGAATACCAACCTAGCACGGGGGTCTCCCCATAGCAGTGTAAACTCAGAGGTAGGCCGACCTAGCATGGGGTCCCCTCCACAGCAATGTAAATTCAGAGTTGGGGTTTGTTAAAATGTCCATATTCACTAAGGTATGGTATAACTTACTGGGTTTGGGTTTGGTTTTGGGTGTTCACACTGGTTTTTGATTAAGTCAGGAGTGTTCAGGGCGATATGACCATCACTTGGGCTGCTTTAGACAGGGTCTTGCTGTGCAGCCCAGCCTGACTTCAAATGCTTGTCCTCCACCTCTGAGTGCTAAAATCACAAGCTTGTGCTGCCATACCTGGCTTATAGTCTCTGTCTAGATAAACTAATTTGTGAAGAAATGTATGGTTTTTACTTAATAAGTACACATAAAGTATAGTGCTAGCCTAACTGACCATTCTGCTAAGATCTGAAAGGCTTGCTAATACCTCAGATTCATATATATATATATATTTCATTTTTATTTAATGTTCATTGGTGTTTTGCCTGCCTGTACGTCTGTGTGAGGGTGTCAGAAGCCCTGGAACTGCAGATACAGACAGGTGTGAGCTGCCATATGGAATTGAACCTGAAACCTCTAGAAGAGCAGTCAGTGCTCTTACCCACTGAGCTGTCTCTCCAGCCCTGATACTTTAGATTCTTAATGGAGGTTGCTTGTTTAAATAAGGACATTTCAACTAGGCAGTGGTGGCATTTGCCTTTAATCCCAGCACCCAGCAGGCAGAGCCAGGTGGATCTCTGTGAGTTCAAGGCCAGCTTGGACTACAGAGTGAGATCCAGGACAGCCAGGGCTACACAGAGAAACCCTGTCTGGAAAAATGAAAATAGATAGACAAACCAACAGATACAGACATAGCACTGTAAGGACCTTAAGACCTGTTGCCTCAGGTCCTCACTTGGCTGCATGTGGGCTGTCCTGGCAAGGGCAGCACTCGAGTCTCCTGTCCCCTCTCCAGTGACATTTTCTGCAAGGAAAGTAGACTCTTTTGTGCTGTGGACAATTAACTGTGTTCCCCAAATCAGTCTGAAAATAAATGCCGTGTGTGTTCTTTCTCTCCGTCAGCCACAGATGCTAAAGAGCGGCAGCACTGGGTCAGCAGACTGCAGATTTGTACCCAGCACCACACGGAAGCCATTGGGAAGGTACGTGCGGCCGTCCAGTGTCAGCACACAAAGTGATAGGCTTACAGCTGTGAGCCCCAGGAGCTGACTTATTTTCATCTCATAGATGCGACGAACGATGTAGACTATAAACATTTGGGTTTCAGTTTTTGGGTGAACATATTATTTCAGGTGTGTGTGCATGTGTGTGTGTACGTACAGATGGAGGCCAGAGTTCAAGGTCAGTGTCTTCTTCAGTCACTCTTCACCTTGTGTCTTGAAATTGTCCTCACTGAGTCTGAGCTCACTGCTTTGCTTAGACTAAAGGCCAACGAGCCACAGGGATCTGGCTCTGGGATTGCAGACTCACCGTACACCGGCCTAATAACTCAGCTGCTGGGGAGCAGACCCAGGTCCTCAGGTGTGGTGGGAGGAAGCACTTTACCAGCCGAGTTAGTCATCTTGCCGGCCCCTCATTTTCTTACTTGAAGTATGTATATAGGAGTGGAATTCCTGGGTCGTGTGGTAGTTCGTGTGTGTGTGTATGTGTGTGTGTGTGTGTGTGTGTGTGTGCGTGCATCCCGCCTATCATGTTAGGAGGCCAGAGAACACTTAGGAGTAGTCCCCTCCTTCAGCGTGGGCTCCTGGGATTGAGCCCAGCTTGTCAGGCCTTGGAGCAAATGCCTTTCTTTGTTCACTGAGTCTTCTCGCCAGCTCAATATTTTATGTCTCTTTTTTGGAGTTTATTGTTTACTGTGCCTGGCTCCTTAGAATGTTTTTAGCTTTGTTGTGTTTTAAGGTGAGAAGGAGGGTCTGAAGTGTGAAATCTGGAGATGTCTAAAAGTGATACATGAGGAGCTCATTCAGAGGATTTTGTATCTGAGGATAACTTAATTTTTTCATCATTTTTCACTTTCTATTTTTCTTCCTAACATTTTTCCCACTAATTTTTAAAAATTATGATCTAGGTCTGGGAATGTTCGACCTGTAATAATAGCATTTTGGAGGCTAAGGCTGGATTGTGAGTTTGAAGCTAGCCTGAGCTATATAGAACCTTCCTCAAAATAAAGCAAACAGAACATTGTACTTAGAGCTGACACCCAGTTTCCAGGAAATACAGTATAATAGTCTCATGGTACAAACTGCTCGTCAGTGACAGTGAGCAGAAAGTACCAGACTGTTCAAAGGATGCCTGGTTGCTTCTTTAGGAGATGTGTTATATTACTGCATACTGAACACATGTATTCCTTATTATATGTATATACTGTCTTTGTGTTGCAATGTTTAAAATAAGAAATCAGAAAAATCTTGTTCTTGGACTTTCAAAAATATATATATAAATTCTTTGAGAATAACAAACTGGAAATTTCAGTTTTCTAAACTTTGAATACCATAAAATTAATCTTCAGAAATTTGCCTAAGTCAATCTGATGTTAATATAGTCTCAAAACTGTACAAGTATAAAGTCTGAAGTACATGGTAATTTGATGGCAAGAGAGCCAAAAATTTAAAAAGCAAAAGAGGAATTATTTTCTTTTTCTGACAGAATAATCCTCCCCTGAAGTCACGGAGCTTCTCACTGGCGTCTAGTGGTAATTCTCCCATATCCCAGAGGAGACCAAGTCAGAATGCCATTTCTTTTTTTAATGTTGGACATTCCAAACTGCAGTCGGTGAACAAAAGAGCGCACTTGCATCCAGACCATCTTGTGGAAGTCAGAGAAGTAAGTATGGACCGAAGGCCAGGTAAGGTGCACAGCAGCGGTGTGCCTGCCTGGTTTTTTCACAGTGCTGTAATTCTGTTTGTGTCTGTGGGCCCTTCCGGGTTTCTCCTCCACTCTGTTAAGTGATAAAGAGTAAGATTACAGATTGTCTAAATTCTCCACATCACACAACTGTGTGCTGGGATACTGTCATTTTCCAAGAATCTCAATCTTTTTTAGTTTTCTTTTCAGAAATCTGTGTCTGTCTTTTAGTTTTCAAGTAAAATGACAGGTTCCTTTGATGCAAAATTTATGATCAAGAGTCTTTAGCTGGGCGTGGTGGACCATGCCTGTAATCTCAGCACTTAGAATGCCAAGGTAGGAGAATTGCCAACATGGGCTACAGTGTGAGTTCCTGTCTCAAAGAATCAGAGAACCATTAAACCTAATGAGAAGGATATAGAGCCTATGTAGACACTATTTAATAAACAACAGCATATGATATGTAGGCCTGAAGACATGGGGCCAGTGGTAGAGAAGATGGCTAGTGTGTACAAGGCCCTGAGCTCAAGCTGAAGGACCACACAGGCAGACTGACACATAACACTGTATCATACACACAAGGAGAGCTAATTCTGATATTGCATTATCTCGTGATTTTTCTCTTTGTAACTCCAACTAATAAAGGGTGCAGTTTGCTGGGGTGTAACTATTTCCGGCACTGCTTGCTACATTCAATTTGGTAGAGCTTCCAGGACTAGGAAGTGGGTTGTGGAAATAATACTGTAAGTCACTCAAAGCAGAAGGCTGGGGAGAAATGTGCTGTCTATCAAGATCTATTGTACTATGTTTATGGATAAAGAAATTGAAGTTTAGAGAGATGAAGTAATGTACTTTGAGACACACAAGACAACCACTTTTGATTCTAGTCCTGTTATACAAACAGGTTATTGTAGTTGGTTGTTTTTTGACTCTTACTCTTTTGGCGGGGCCTGCCACCCAGCTCCCAAGTAAATCAAACACAGAGGCTTATTGTTTGTTAATTATGAATGCCCGACCTTAGCTTGGCTTGTTTCTAGCCAGCTTTTCTTAAATAATCCCATACACCTTTTGCTTCTAGGCTTTTATCTTTCTCCATTTCTGTGTATCTTACTTTCACTCTTACTCCGTGACTGACTGGCTGTGTGGCTGTGTGGCTGGCCCCTCGTGTCCTCCTCTCCTTGTTCTCTTGCTCCTCCTTCCTGTCAGGTTTCTCTTCCCATTTATTCCTGCTGCCCTCCAGCCCCGCATATCCTTTCTCCTGCCAAGCTATTGGCCGTTGGAAGTAACACAGCTTCACAGAGTTAAACACATGCAGCATAAAAGAATGCAACACAGCTTTGCATCATTAAACAAATGTTCCACAGCATAAACAAATGTAACACATCATAAAATAATATTCTACAACAGGTTATGTTGTAAAACATCTCTTTCATAAAAAGCAGTATGTGACTCCTTTTCTTCTGCCTTTTAAATCATTCTTCTTGATATTTTGCTTCACTAAGTAAGTTTTTAAAATTAAAATTTATGCCAGGTGTGGTGATGAATGCCTTTAGTCCCAGCACTTGAGAGGAGGCATGTTGCATGAATTTTATTATAATACCATCCTAAATGGTATTATAATAAAAACTCAGAGCCAGATATTGGGGTAAATGCTGAAAGATCAGAGAAGCAGAGGAACAGGCCACTAGAGAAACTTCTCACCACTACCAAATCCTCAGGCCGAGTGGAAGGTGAGATCCTCTCTCCACGAATCCTCAGACTGCAAGCCTCTGAGTCCTCAGCCGAAAGGGTCTAGTTCCTGTCTCCTCACGCCTTTCTCCACCCAGCCATTTCACTTCCTTCCAGTGTTGGGATTAAAGGCATGTGACTCCCAAGTACTGGAATTAAAGGTGTGTGCCACCACTGCCTGACCTCTTTGTTTAATCTAGTGGCTGGCTCTGTCCTCTGATCCTCAGGCAAGCTTTATTTGATACATAATATATCACCACAGAGGTAGGCAGAGGTGAGTTTGACCTCAGCCTGGTCTACTAGTGAATTCCAGGTCAGCCAGAGCTACATAGTGAGACCTTGCCTCAAAAAACAAATCAAACAACAAATGACCCCCTAAAAAACTATTTGAAGGTCTGAAAGATAGCTCAGAATGTAGAGGTACTTGCCCACCAAGCCTGATGACCAGAGCTTGGTCCCCAGACCCCACGTGGTGGAAGGAGAGAACCAATTCCCACAAGTTGTCCTCTGATTGCCACACTTGAACATGGCACATTAAATTTACACACCTTTGTGTGCAGATATGCTCACACACACAAAAATGAATGTTAAAACCTCTATTTGGTATAGGACATCAGTTTATACACATAAGCAAAATTCACACACTTATAATCCAAAAATTCAACTTTTAGATTTTAGATATTAAAAGAAAATTTATATGACAACAGTTTTAAAGTCTTAAAGCTAAGACGCTGACCGTTGAAATGTGCATTACCATCTTCATAAACAGTGTCTGAGCCTGCACTCAGACGCTGCCAAGCCAGCTGCCGTCATTAACACTGGAAGCTGGGTGTGGTGGCACATGCCTTTAGTCCCAGCACTCGGGAGGCAGAGGCAGGCGGATCTCTGAGTTCGAGGCCAGCCTGGGCTACAGAGTGAATTCCAGGACAGGCTCCAAAGCTACACAGAGAAACCTTGTCTTGGGAAAAAAAAACAAACAAACACAAAAAAAACCCAATACACAGAGCACCCATACATTCACATTTATAGATGTGCTTATATGGATACCTTTATGTCCAGTTTCTCATTTTGAAGATTTTTTTTCCTGGGAAAGTAAATGTTTAAACTTTGACTGTGGCTCATATTTTAGAAACTGTTGCATGTGACACACTTGATTGGCTTTCTAAGGCCATTCTGCATCCCACTGTCACTAACTGCCTGATAAACTATGTGTGTCAGTATGGAACACGGGCTGGGGAGGTGTCTGGGGTGAAAAGCACTTGCTCCACCAGCATGAGGACCTGGGTTTGGATCACTAAAAAGCCAGCTCTTTGTGCATGCAGCCCTAACACCGGGATCACTGGGATTTGCTGGCCAGTAGCCAAGCCGAAGGAACAAAAACAGGGAGCTCCAGGTTCAGAGAGACCCTGCCTCCAGGGTATAAGGTGGAGAGCAATGGAGGAGGACACCTGGCCTTTGAGTGGGTACACACACACACACACACACACACACACACACACACACACACACACACACACACACACACAGCTTCTAAATGTTAAGAGTTTTCCATTACAGAGTTTCTGTGTGAATTAA